AACATGCCCCTTTCAATTAGTGATTCAATTACACAGAATCAGCAGCATGCATGTCATGACTGTTGGGTCTGTTGGATTTCTATTACTCTACTACACATGCTAGTAAATTATTTGCCATGTAGAAATATTATTTCTACCAAAAACAGTGATTGATCAGGTTAGTGATGTCTGACTGCTATTATTTTGAACACAACTATATATATATATATATATATATATATATATATATATATATATATAAATATATGTATATACACATCACCCGGCTGGTGATTACCCGCCAACACCCGGTGATCGCCGAGCATCACTGACAGGGAGAGGTCTGTGTGTAAACAATACAGATCTCTCGCCTGTCAGCTCCAGCATGCTGCTTTGTATTGCTCTGCATAGCACAGCAATACGAAGCAGTGTGATTACACAGTAGAGCACAGCACACAGTAAAACACGCACAGCACACAGTTAACCCTTTGATCGCCCCAGATGTTAACCTTTTCCTGCCCAGTGTCATTAGTACAGCATCAGTGCTTTTTACTCGTCGGCACCCGGTGATCAAGGAGCATTACCGACGGAGGGAGAGAACTGTGTGTAAACAATGCAGATCTCTCCCCTGTCAGCTCCTGCACACTGCTATGCATGGCTTTGCATAGCAGAGCCATGCAAAGCAGTGTACTTACAGTGAAGCACACACAGTACGTTTACAGTAAACAGCACATAGTTAACCCTTTGATTGTCCTACATGTTAACCCCTTCCTGCCCAGTGCATTAGTACTTTTTATTAGCACTGATCACTGTATTAGTGTCACTGGGGATGTCAGTGACAGTTAGACAGTTCTCCCCCCAGTGTCAGAAAGCCTGCCACAGTCTTGCAGGCCCGCTATAAGTCGCTTATCTCTGCCATTACTTGTAAAAAAATTTAAATAAAAATTCCAGTATCTATACCACCATTTATAGACATTATAACTTTCACGTAAACTAATTCATTTACACGTATTGGAATTTTTTTTAGCAAAGACATGTAGCAGAATACATTTTGGCCTAAATTTATGAAGAAATTAGATTTTTTTTTTTATTTCTGTACTGGACATGTTTAATAGCAAAAAAACAAAAATATTGCTTGTTTTTTTTTAAATTGTCGGTTGTCGGTCTTTTATTGTTTCTAGCACAAAAAATAAAAAATGCACAGGCAATCAGATACTACCAAAAGAAAGCTCCATTTGTGGGAAAAAAAGGACTTAAATTTCATCTGGGTGCAGCATTACATGACCGCACAATTATCAGTTAAAGTAACGCAGCGCCGTATCGCAAAAAATGGCCTGGTCAGGTAGGGGGGTAAGTGGTTAATTGGTTTTGGAGAGAGTGGGAAAGGACCAGTACCCCTACTGGGAAATGTACCCCTCACTTCTTGTCTGCACAGAAAGTGATGGAAATCTCTCCAACAAGGGGCACAGGCAAATACATAGAACATAGTAAAAGTGGAAAAAGGTGAGAACTGACAATGTTTCTATTCCTTGTCTGTGACAGGAAGTGAGGGAAAGACCTCACTTACGTAGGCTTTGAGGCCTGAAGACAATTAATGGGCGGTTTGTTTATGTGACTTGAGCCGCCTGTTGTGTCTCCATACACTCACATGGGCGGCCTGCACACCACACCTGACATCTCAAGTTGCATAGATACACAGCCCATTCTACGTGGTCTACGTGACTCTGTGCCCATGTGAAGGAGGCCAGAGTCTTCCATAAAGGGGTTACAGAAAGAATAGTAAAACAACCGTAGTAGATAGAATAGCAAACGTTTGTGGTGAAAGGCCTTTTGTTTTTTAGTTTATTTAAAAGAGAAGTATGGCCGAAGCTTTTTTTTTGGCCGTTCTTCTCCTGTGGGTTCACAGGAGTTCACATACTTTTGCTCTCCTTTGACCCAGATTCAGCTTTTAGCAGGCTATAGTCCCTCTTAGCTGACATGGAAGAGCAGCTCCAGACCCTGGAAGGATTCCGACTGTATTGTTGAGATCCAAATAGAAGATGGTGCTACAAACCATAAACTGTATCAGCTATGGGATGAAGTGTCAAATAAATACTCTATGCTAATGCAGGCCATAGACGGGTCGAAAACCAGCCATTTTTTTTTTAAAAAAAGGAAAAATCGGTCGTTCAATAGGCCGACGTTACCACCAACGGTAAAAACAATCGGTCGATTTTTGTCCCGTCTATGGCTGGCATTTAATTACTTCTGTCCCTTGCAGAGAGCTCCGCTATTATATTTGACATGAAAAAGTATTGCGGTTGCAAACAATGTATCCATTTGTATCCATTTCGGATACAGAGGTTTTTATTTGCATACAAATAGATACATTTGTTGCAACCGCAATACTTTTTCATGTCAAATATAATAGCGGACTGGAATTCTTATCTCTTTTCTCTTCTTTTTCTTTTTCTTCTGCTTCTTTTTCTTCTTCTTCTTCTTTTTTGTCTTCTTGCAGGTCACTGCTCATGCACAGATTTTTTATCGGTAAAATGATCGGCCAATTTGCCCATCATTTCCGGGAAAATCGGCCAAACGGCAAAATCGGATGATTTTTTTCCAACTTTACCAATAAAAAAATGTGCCAAAACCCCGAAAAACAGCCGACCAATTAACCCACTAAAGGTGTGAAAATCGGCCAATTTTTTTTCTTCAGCCGAAAAATCGGCCAATTTTCGACCCCTCTATGGCCTGCATAGGACAACGTTGTACATACCGTGATAGTCCAGCACTGACACGGTATGAAATAAATATACTACAATTCTTTATTCATGATCAAGCGAGACATAAAAAGAATTCATCCAATAAAATGATTGACGCGTTTCAGCTCCACACACTCTGGGCCTAAGGCTGGCCATACACTACACAATTGTCTTCCAATTTTCTGTTCAGTTTCTGCCCAATTTCCTTTAGATTTACCTTCCACTATGTAGTGCAAGAGCCTTCCTAATTAGATACAATTGAAAGTGTTGTTTAGGTTTGACCTCTATTATATGGTTTTTGGTAAATCTAAAGCAAATTTCTCAAGAAAATTATATAATGTATGGCCAGGCTTAGGGAAGGTAAATCTAAAGGAAATTGGGCAGAAATTGTGGCCAGGCTTAGGGAAGGTAAATCTAAAGGAAATTGGGCAGAAATTGAGCAGAAAACTGTAAAAAAAAGTTGTATAGTGTATGGCCAGCCTTAGTCATAATCCATTAGTGTTGGTATCCACCCAGCTTCCTCATCCAGCATCCACCTGTGAAACATGGACATGTGACTCAAAAAACGCACTAAAAAAAAGCAACTGCAGGTGTGTTTTGTATGTCATTTCAATGGAGAGGTGCATTTTTTGAGTGGTTTTAAACATGCACCAAAAATGCAGCAAGCAGGACCTTTTGCAACTGAAACACAAATGACTGGTGTGAAGAGTTCAATTAAATTTAAAAGGAAACATTTTTCATACTTTTTTCTTTGGCTTTTTTTAATTGAAAAACTTACTAAAAATTGATCAGTGTGAAAGGGCCCTTACAATATTCCAAGCTTTCTCTGAGGACTACAGCACACCTCCCCTGTCATGGAAAAAAGGACAAGGGAAGTTATTGTAGTACTTTCCTAGTGTAACAAAGCTATTTCTCCATAGATACATTACAGTGGGTGAGTGTTTTCACTCTAGGACAGAAAGTGTGTTACTGGCAGGATCACCAGGTGAAAAAAAGCCTAAAAAAAGCAAACAAATGCAGCCAATACAGAAAAAGACTGGTATGCTATAATGAATTACATTTTTATTCTTGGAGTGAGATATGCATGAAATGCAAAAAAAGTATTAAATCACACATCTAGCCCTTTTAAGATATTTTTAAAGTGTTAGTTCACCTTTACACATAAAATAAAAATGTGAACTAACACCACACACCCTCCTCACCGCTCTGGTCCCCACTCTACTTACCTCAGTAGTTGCTAAACTGCCATCACCCCCTGCAACTGGTTTAGCAGTCCAGGGATTTGAAACCCCCATTCTTTGCTCTCTTCTCCTTGTCATGCTTCCAGTATGGACAAGATTGATTCTGATTGACCAGCACTGTCATAGTGAATCAAATCTGATCCTTTCCAGAAGTGCTGCACATAGAAGAGGGAGAAGAGTGTATTTCAAATTCCTGGACCTCTGGACAAGCTGTGGGGCTGTTGATAGCTCGATGATAACGCTTCAGTGTGAACAGCACTGTGTGCTGCCATGTGCAAAAATTTCATAGGTGTTTCAGAAGCGTTAAAAACGCTTCCCAAACGCCCCTGACGCCTGCTGACAAAGCTAGTGTGAATGTAGCCTAATAGTTGAAAAATATGATCGTAAATTATCAATTGCATCTCAGTTTTTACACTTTCAAATGCCTGCATGATCAAAATACGATTGAATTCATGAACAAAGCATCTCAGTGCTCCTAATAAATGCAACATAATCAAATCGATCTGCCTTGGTCAATCAACTCAATTTAACCAATCTAAATCAATTAAAAAGGAGGTTATACTTATTCAGTTGTTTGCTAATTTGATTGTTAGGATCTAATCACACATCGATTTGATAATAAATTGAAACCTGCGTGGCCACTATAAGTATCCTTGGTTGTTATTTTAAAATGTTGACAGCTATGAATTTAGTGGGGTTTTTTTACTGTTTATCAAATATTACATATAATTTATTTTTATTTTCCATTTTCATGTAACTTTGAACTATATTGTCATGAACTACTTCCTTCTCTGTCTCTGGCTATTACTTTTGTGATTGATTGCTTCCCTTCTTTGCTTTGTGTGCTCACTCTGTCTCACTTCGAAGTGTCTCTAGAACTTCCTCCTGATGGTTTTGTCCTCTTTTCCTTTCAGTTCATGTTGTGGTCCTGCAGCCCTTGTTTCTCTCCTCCCCCTACACTTCTCCCCCTCTTTCTCTCTTCTGTCTTCCACACTGCTGACTAACTGTTCAGATATGCTTCCCTCTCATCTCTCTGCAGCTGCTTCAATTCTACCAGAACAACAGCAAGACTTCAACTGAGAAACTTCAGGAGAACAACAGCGAGACTTCAACTGAGAAACTCCAGGAGAACAAAAGTGAGACATCAACTGAGAAACTCCAGGAGAACAACAGCAAGACATCTTCTGAGAGACTCCAGGACAACAACAGCGAGACTTCAACTGAGAAACTCCAGGAGAACAACAGTGAGACATCAACTGAGAAACTCCAGGAGAACAACAGCAAGACATCTTCTGAGAGACTCCAGGAGAACAACAGCGAGACATCAACTGAGAGACTCCAGGAGAACAACAGCGAGACATCTTCTGAGAGACTCCAGGAGAACAACAGCGAGACATCAACTGAGAGACTCCAAGAGAACAACAGCGAGACATCAACTGAGAGACTCCAAGAGAACAACAGCGAGACATCAACTGAGAGACTCCAGGAGAACAACAGCGAGACATCAACTGAGAGACTCCAAGAGAACAACAGCGAGACATCAACTGAGAGACTCCAGGAGAACAACAGCGAGACATCAACTGAGAAACTGCAGGAGAACAACAGCGAGACATCAACTGAGAAACTGCAGGAGAACAACAGCGAGACATCAACTGAGAAACTGTAGGAGAACAACAGTGAGACATCAACTGAGAGACTCCAGGAGAACTACAACAAAATTGAAGGTACGTGAGCATGCATCATAATTTGTAACACATAAAGAAAGCCGGCCTTACGTTATACAAACATAATATGTGTTGCCTGACTATAATAGGTTCCAGTGGGTTAAGACTGGGGTAACTTTAGACCAGTCTTTTTCAGCCAGGGTGCCCAGGCACCCTGAGGTGCCTTCAGGTTTCTTCAGGGGTGCCTTGGCACAATGCCTAAAATTTGATCAAAAGTTGTATACAAGCCGGGTGGATCAAGCATGCATTTTAGTTACACAAAGCCACAGGTTTTCATTGTGCACCATTACAACATTCTAGTTGCCAGTGTCCTAACAACCAATGACCTCATCAGTTTATAAGGAGGAGGTCAGGCACTTGCACAGCATCCTTGTTTGCCTCTCCCTTACCCCTCTACATCAGCACTGGTTTCACATTGGCTGAGTGAGGACGAGAAACTGAGGGAGAAGAGAAACACTGGAATACTAGTCAGTACCAGTGTGCAAAGCTGTATTTGCTTTGGATAACCTCTAATGTTGGGCATCCTCCTAGCTGCTGCTGTGTTTTTGTAAAAATTTGTTTAGTTTTCTACATTTTAGAATGAGGTGCCTCAAAATTGTACAGAATTTTAAAGGGTGCCTTGACTGGAAAAAGGTTGAGAAACACAGCTTTAGACCTTACTCTTTTTGGGGAAGAATCGATAGACTACATTGGATTTTTCAAGGCAATAGCTATAGCTTTAAAGCTGAAGTTTAGGTATGGCAATTTTTACATAGTTACATTGGTCCAGCTTGGACCAATGTAAGTATGTGTATGCCATAACTGTAAAATCTTTGTGGAAGCTGGAAATCACCAAAGTAGGCACTGCTACTGCAGTGATCACCACTAGCTTCCAGGTCCCGTGCCGAGCAGCTGCTCTGCTGCATTGTAAACACAGGAGGTCACTTATTCGGTGAAGAGGTGGGATGGTGATATCAAAATCTCCACCTTGTCCAATCAGAGAGCACTTTGAAAAAATGCAGTTTTCTCTGAATGGTGCCTGTGCCGAGCAGGCGATCTCCTGGATTCATTAAGCAGCAGGGCAGCCACTCAGCATGGGAACCGGGAAGCTAGTTGCTAGTGGCTACCCAGCCTCTCCCAGTAAGCTGTCTACATGGTCCACCACATGCCAATTCATGGCAATAAGGACACCTCAAACTAATTAATTGGAGCAGTTCTGCCACCTTCATGGTGTAATCTATTATTTTTGCCATTTGTTTACGTCAGCCTACTTTACATACACGACCCTTACTAGATGGGTTAAACCTATAGCCACACTGAAATCTAAATGCTTACTTTCACATTGACATGCATTTTTGACACATTTCATTTAAGTTTATTTGTGTGGCCCCATGCAGGTCAATATACCAAGCATGTAATGGTGTGAGCAGGTTCTAATGAAACAATACGTTCAGTGCAAACCAGCCCTACAGAAAAGACTAAAGAACTGCTCCTGAAGATTGTGGCTGCGTCTCTGGCCTCAGAAAAGACCCAGGTGTTCTGATATGTGTTGCATACTATAGCATTCATGGTTTTACGTGATAGTTTTTCAAAAAGGATGTTTTAATTTCAGCCAGGATCTGGTGAACTGAATATTTTCTGGATTATTCCTTGGGCTTCCAAACTTTTTGGTCATTGACCAAGAACAAGCAAAAGTAGAGTCTGAACTGCTTATCTGTAATTTTTTCTTGATAACCAGATGATTGACATGACAATCAGGCAAATGGCATTTTCTTTCATTTAGCTTTTATTGAAAAAGCAAAATAAACATACAACCAATATATGTTGAATTTTTGAACAAAATACGGCTGATGTGAATGACCAGGCAATTGGCATTTTCAAAAGGAGATGAGCAAAGGGAACCCCTGTGTATTACTCATGACAAGATACAGTACCTTTAAGAGTGTGATTTGGTAGGCATACTTGACCATGTACAGTCACAAACAGTAGATTCCTACTACATGAAGGTAATTTCTTGCCATATAGTGTTGACATGATGGCAAGACCCAGTCCATTCTGAACATCACTTGTGTAGCCTTTGCCTACAGCCCTCTTGACATGTGCCAATTGTGTCTGAACAACCAAAAATAAAAAGTTGTTAGAGGAATGAATGATTTCCACTATGTACATCTGCTTCAGTCTGCGGCTCAAAAGAACTTGCATTCCCTGTAATTGAGGTTTTGTCTTGGCTCTTTGTTAACATACAAAGGCAGTTGTCATAAGGATCCATGACTCAACGTGACAGCTACATTCCTCAGGTTTCACATTTGTGCCAATGTTTCAGTTTACTGTGTGTAGACAAAAGTCCGAAGTCTTTGTAGAGTTATATCTTGGTCTTTGTTGTTGAGCTACTTTTGAATGAATGTCAGTTGGCCATCCGGTAAATTTTTAGATTGCAGAAAGAGACCCATACAAACAGAAGTACTGGCCAGAATTTGTAAAGGGCTGCTGTGTGGTGTACAGTCTATGTCTGGGCTGCTTGAATTGAATGAAATATCAAACTGCTTATTCGTAACAATCAAATGGATCCAGTTATATGTTGCTGCACGGGACTTCCTATCAAAGGTTTGTAAAATGAATAGATATAAACTGCCATGCTTTCTAAGACAACGCTGCTTTGAAATGCCAGTCCAACCACACTATAGACATTCTTTGTAAATATCCTTTATGGATGAAAACAAAATCTGAACCTCAAGGTTCAAGGCCTCATGTATAGCCACAAAGCCACCATGTGATCTGAATCATGGTAGAGCATGGAGGACATCTTACCGCTGATTTTAAAAAGGATGTCACAAAATAGTTTGTGGCAATGAGGAATCAGGAGGGAGAATGCGTTTTGACTACACAGTGGTACCTCTAAAAATACCACCTGCCTAAAATAATATGTATAAAATAGTAATAAATAAATACCAGGATATGACAGGGGATCACACCAGGTTAGGGTTATCACCTCATCCCTTTAAAACTGAACACATATTAGTTACACAGGTTCGGTGGCTGACTAAGGTGGTAATTAAACTCACTTAGTGCCTTATCTGCAATAAATTAGCCTCAGAACCTGAGTAATTAATATGTGTTCGGGTTTAAAGGGATGAGGTGGCAACCCTACACTAGGTTGATATAAAGGCAGATTCTGGTACCTGTGGTAGTTATATGTAGTTATACACAGTATTTTATGATTTTTTTTATGAATACATACCTGAATTAAATAGTATTTTAATATCTGTCTAGAATTCAGGGTGTTGTTCTGTGCATTTGAGTTAATTGTTCAGACATGGCTGTAACTATTGACACTTTATATTACAGCCTTTTCTTTTCATAACTTTTCATAAACAGCACCTTATCATCCTATTGCATGCCTGGTTTATTCCCCTGGTGCCCAACCTGTGGCCCCTTTGGTATATGATGTGTAGCTGTCAGACCTCAGCAGTCTGTAGTGGGAACATTAATTAGGGTAATAGCATTTCTATTAGCCTCATGCTACATGTTCTCAAGTTTACATTGCAGCTTATCCCCAGTCAAAGATGTAGCATGTCCACACTCTCTGACCCTCAATTCCTCTATTAAGTCTGCAGTTTCTGACAGCCTTCTCAAGCATTACATATATTGAACATTATGTGCGGCCATTTGGTGATGTCAGGGTGGCATTTGAGGCCCCTTTTAGTTCATACGTTTACAACCACTTATTTAGACAGGGGAATCCCTATTTGCTTGCAATATTGAGTCTTTTGGGGGGGTAATGTAATCTGTAGTGCCACCTGCTGGTGAAATGTCCAATCTACTGCTGTGTCAAACAAGGTGGTTGATGTACTAAAGGAAAAACAGAATGTTTGCTTAGCAAAGTTAGCTACACTATATTGCCAAGTATTGGGACACCCCTCCAAATCATTGGATTCAGGTGTTCCAATCACCTCCATGGCCACAGGTGTATAAAATCAAGCACCTAGGCATACAGACTGCTTCTACAAACATTTGTGAAAGAAAGCTGGATAACTCAGGAGCTGAGTGAATTCAGACGTGGTACCGTGATGAGTTGCCACCTGTGCAATAAGTCATCATTGAAATTTCCTTGTTACTAAATATTCCACAGTCAACTGTTATTGGTAATATAACAAAGTGGAAGCAACAGGGAACAACAGCAATTCAGCCACGAAGTGGTAGGCCACGTAAAATGACAGAGCGGGGTCAGCGTATGCTGAAGCGCAGAGTGAGTAGGCATCGCCAACTGTCTCCAGAGTCAATAGTCCACCAAACTTTGTGTGGCCTTCAGATTAGTACAACAACAGTGGGTAGAGGGCTTCATGGTTTCCGTGGCCGAGCAGCTGCATCCGAGCTTTACATCACCAAGTGCAATGCAAAGTGTCAGATGTAGTGGTGTAAAAAACATCGCTACTGGACTCTAGAGCAGTGGAGACATGTTCTCTGGAGTGACCAATGACGCTTCTCTGTCTGGCAATCCGATGGACGTGTCTGGGTTTGACGGTTGCCAGGAAGACGGTACTTACCTGACTGCATTGTGGCAAGTGTAAAGTTTGGTGGAGGGGGGATTATGGTGTGGGGTTGTATTTCAGGGGTTGGGCTTGGCCCCTTAGTTCCAGTGAAGGGAACTCTTAAGGCATCAGGATACCAAGACATTTTGGACAATTTCATGCTCCCAACTTTGTGGGAACAGTTTGGGGATGGCCCCTTCCTGTTCCAACATGTCTGCGCACCAGTGCACAAAGCAAGGTCCATAAAGTCATGGATGCGCGAGTTTGGGATGGAGGAACTTGACTGGCCTGCACAGAGTTCTGATCTCAACCCAATAGAACACCATTGGAATGAATTAGAGCGGAGACTGCGAGCCAGGCCTTCTCGTCTGACATCAGTGCCTAACCTCACAAATGGTCTTCTGGAAGAATGGTCAAACCTTCCCATAGGCACACTCCTAAACCTTGTGGACAGCCTTCCCAGAAGAGTTGAAGCTGTTATAGCTGCAAAGG